TGTAGTGGGCTTGGGATACCTTTTCGTAACGGTAAGGAACTTCACAAGCAAACATCCCCTAAAACCGACTAACCAACTGATTTTGACGCCCAGCCTAAGCCTACAACGGCCACTAACCGGTATGTTCCTTCCATATTCATTCCTAACGGTCACATTTACCCTTCCTATTTTTTCCAATTGTTGCTTAATTTACTAATTAATACATTTTTTTTGCAAGCCTATCAAGTGTTATGAGATGGTTTTTCGAAAAAGGAAAAATGTTATGAGATGGGATCACGTGCTTATCTATTACCATGCTTCATGCTCTCATCATATTTTTTTAGTACTACTAAGGATTATGTACTCTTTCTCTTTCTTTCTTTTTTTTTTTTTTGTTTTTTAGTTCAAAATGACACATAATTTGGTTTGATACATTCTAATTTGTACATATAATTATTAAGGAAACATTGACTAATTAAAATTTAGAAGTTTGTTATATCAAAATTTCATGCAAATTCACTTTTATCCCAAGTCCATGCTCATTAATGGTAACTAGTTTCATTCTTGCTTTTAACCTAATGCTGAAATTTCTTTGCTTTCATATAATATGGAATATTTTGGAAAAAAACCAAAAAATCGGCTTAATTGCCATAAATTAAATTTCAAATTTTGGTAAATTAATTTATATCCAAAGTCTATTATTGGGTAAAACAATTTGTGTTTTAATGTTTATAAGATAAATTGAACGAATTTTGCAAAAACAAAAAATAATGTGTCATTTTATTGATTTCAACTAGTTTTGTGCTTGGCTTTAGCCTTTTAAGTCTCGAACCACAAGCCTTTTGGTTTCATTTTTCGGCTTTTGAAATTAAAACGCTTTCAATGGTACATTTATAGATGAGGGTGGAAGTTGTTTTAGTTGAAAGAATTTGAATATTTATTGAATCATTAGTCTTTTGGGCAAAATTTAATGATTAATATTTAAATTACTAAATAAAAATTTGGACAACAACCGAATGTTAGACTGGTAAGAAAAAATCTAAATTTTCAATTATTGACCAATGAACACCCAGAATATGAAATATATGTTCTAATTATTTTTGCATGCTCATGTACAATTCAATAAGACTAACTTGGAGTGAAGATTATTTCATTTACTTCATCACCACATTGATGGGGGTGAGAAAATTTTTGTTATCGTTTTTTTATTTGATAAGTAAGTAGAAAAGGTGGAAATTCTTGAATAGATGGACCAAAAAAAAAAAAACAGAAGAAGAAGAAAAGAAAAACTTTAGCTGATTTGAATTTTAAAACAGTGGCGTATTTTCCCCATAAAATTCCAATCCCTCACAGAAACCCAAAATGGTAATCTTAACTGATACACCAACGCCCTCACCTGCAGTAACCGGTCACCATCCCTGAACCCCGAGGCCCCAACATTTTAAAAACCTCCAAACCCGTTCGTTTTGACGCTGGTGTTTGGCCTTCCGGCTTCCGCCACTGCTGCGTCTTTGCTATCTTCCCCACAGAGCCAACCAGCTTAAGTTTTCACACATTTCATCCCTCTGTACCTGCATTCCTCCCAGTTCTACCCTACCCCTCAAAGTCTTCTCTAATTAGCTCCCTAACGCCAATAGCTCAATTTCAGCGCCTACATTATCACCTAATCCTTAAAGGCTTAAGTGTCTGAAAAACCATGTCAGTGGCTGCCGAGCTGCACTCACCTGAAAAACCCGCTTCAGAAACCCGGAAAATTTTGGGTCCTGGAGGCAACCGGGTGCGAGTTCTTGAAGAAGAGAAGGGAAAGAAGGAGAGACTGAAGAAGAAGCATTCTAATAATAATACTAATAATAATACTGCCGCTGTTGATGCTAAGAAATTGGTGTCAGAGAGCCCGAAAGCAGCTGTACTGAAAAACAGGGTGGGTGATAGGTATTCGGAGACATCTTTCTGTAATGGGTCGGTAATGAAAAGCGTGAGTTCAAAGAGGAAAGTGAAGAACTCTAGTGGTGTTATAGCTGCTAAAGTCGTGCCCCATGGGCGTGAGACTTTGGCAGTGACTCGAGTAGCTCCGGGTCTAGTTAAGCGATGCGATTGGATCACGCCAAATTCTGGTAACTTTTCACTGTGAAATTGTTGCTATTGTTTGTTTAATGTTCCATGAGTTCATCTTAAAGAAGTTCACCTAATATAATTTCCATTGCGACCTACAAATTCCTGTCTGATGAAATTGTTGCTATTGTTTGTTTAATGTTCCATGAGTTCATCTTAAAGAAGTTCACCTAATATAATTTCCATTGCGACCTACAAATTCCCTCCAAATTGCTTGTCTGATGATTTAGGAGTTAGGACATATCTTATAATCATACATGTGTCCATAAATTAGAGGCCTTAAATCAGTTTTTGATGATGCTCTTTGAATTGATCGCGTCATACAAGTATCTCTGTCAATTGTGGTCACATTTTGTCAATTACAAGTTTACCGATCATACGCAGATCATTTAACAGGCTGCACGGGCAGCGCTGAACTTCTGTGAAAATTCATATGGCCGGGGAGATATGACTACGATTTACTGATAGCTAAAATCTGGAACCCTTTTGTTCACATGATAGCAAAGTGGAATGATAATTCGTTGCAATCAAAATGTACGCTTACGGCAATAGAAAATGAATCAAGGGAAAGGAAATAATTGTCTCAGTCGTCAAAGCAGGCAGGTGTGGTTGAAACAAACGAGTCTAGGAAGTCTGCATTTGGTGTATCTGTTTCTTTTGGAATGTATAGAATTACTTTGCTTAAAAAAAGCCATTTATTTCATTCAAACTTCAAAAGAATAGCACCACACTTTTTCCCCCGGAATCATCTCATCTTGTTCGTTCTTCTGGGAAACCATTTATGATTTCATTTAGTTAAAGTTTGAACTGCTCTTTTTTTGGTGTATTTTAGAACCACCTTAGATGGATAAAGTACAGGATTTTTTTTATCCATTATTGCAACCACCATAGGATAGTGGATAGTGAAATATTATGCTTCACCCCTACCTCCCTGCAGATGTAGCAGCGATATATTTGTTTGTTGAAAAAGGTCATCTTCTGCAGCAACAAAAGACAAGCATTGATAGTTTTTGGAGAATTACAACTGAGAAAATCTTGACATTTTGCAGAGACAATTTATGCTTCTTTCCATGATGAAGAGTGGGGAGTTCCAGTTAAGGATGAAACAAAGCTGTTTGAACTGCTTGTTTTATCACAGGCATTGGCTGAACTTCCCTGGCCAACAATTCTTCGCAAGAGAGAGACATTCAGGTATACACAATCTTCAACATAGCATCACATTCTTTCTTCTCTTCAGCATAAATGTACTCCGTTTATATAACTAATGTACAATACTAATGGTGATTAGTTGGTGGATCTCACTTACACAGGAGGATATTCAACAACTTTGACCTATTGTCTGTTGCTAGTATTGATGAGAAGAAGTTACTGGCATTGAGTACAAATGGGAATTCATTACTATCTGAACAGAAGCTTCGTGCAATTGTGGAAAATGCTAAGCTAGTGCTCAAGGTAATTACTTTCAATTCAATCTTTTCAAGTCCCTTAATCAGAACTAAAATGATGTCGAAGGCAAAGCAAAACTATGACTGTCTTTTGGACAGAAAACTTTTTTGTCTTTCTTCCAGACGTAGACTAACGTAGCCCTTGTTTCATGGTTAAGCGCACTGACTCAGCAAAGTTGAAGCCCTTATTCTTCACGACTGAATTTGATACCTCTTCCCAAAACTAACATTGTGATGGTATGCCTCGCTTGAGGAGGAGTTACATCGGGAAAGAAAGGGAGGCAGGGCCATTAAGGAGACTAACATGAATATGGTTTTCTACTCAAGACTATATAATTGATTGAATAGCTTAGGAAATTTTTGGTTAGATTTCCATGATTTTCTCCTTTTGCGCAGATCCAGCAGGAGTTTGGTTCCTTCAGCGACTACTGTTGGCGATTTGTAAGCCACAAACCAATAAGAAATGGCTTCCGATATGCACGTCAAGTTCCTGCAAAAACACCAAAATCAGAACTGATGAGCAGGGGTTTGATGCAAAGGGGCTTCCGGTGCGTGGGGCCTACTGTCGTGTATTCATTCATGCAAGTGGCGGGGATGGTTAATGGCCACCTCGTATCATGCTTTAGATACAATGAATGTAACAGCAACTTCAACGAGGATTTGGATGCCGAAGCCAAAAAAGAGACAGACGTGTGATGCTGGTGGCTTTGGAGACCACATGCGCATCAAACAAGTAATGACCACCTTGAAGGTTCATATTTTAGGACGCGGACTAATTAATTTGGTAGTTCCCTAACAAGAAATGAAACTAGTGCTACTACAATTATGATCCAGGAGACTTTTGATTCTGGGAGGAAGGGTCCTTGAGCTTGTACGTTTGTTACTGATGTGATTAGTGATTGTTCATATTCAGACTAATCATTTTCATGTAAAGTTCAGTTCTTTACTGTTGTTGTGCTTTCATCCTGCTTTCATGTCTGAGAACTGTGAGGTGACAAGATTGATTTCATACCAGCAAATTAGCATCTGCTGTGTTAAATCTCTGTCATCATGGTTTGTACTCCACTAGCACTAGCAGAGAGGTGTGTGTATTGTTTTCTTTGGAGTGATTATTTCGGGTTGAGATTTCGTTGACCATGGGCGGATACTTCGACAAGCAATACATGTGCCAGAGGCCGCGTTACGGGTAAAATGAAAGTACCTGTTAAGTTGGAATTATGCATAAGGCCAGAGGTTGATAGAATATGCTGACATTAAATGATGGGCTTCGACAAGCTACCAGCCAGCCTCAAAACTGCCCCGTTATCACGCCCCACCTCTTGTTTTTTTTTTTTGTAATCCTGCTCCTACGTGTGCATGAACATGGGATGTCAAGCCATACCATACCATAATGGATAAAAAAAGGACAGCTCCCCCCATGCATGGCCCAGAGACATCAAATAATTCTGTTGAAGATTGGTCAAAAAAGCATCAAACTTTAAAGCTCATACCAATTATGCATCGACATCGAACCTCATTTACATGTCAGGGAAGAAACAGGACGCTCCAAAAAGTGTGTTAATGGAGTTTCTATCAAAATCTTCTCTTGAAAAACAGAGTGGGAAATGGACGAGGGCAAGCAATCCCTAATCATCATCCAATACATGCATGTATACAGATGCAAATCCAATATATAGCATGAAATGCCAAGGAAACATACAAAACATGCAGTAACGTTATGCATCAATTGAAGACAAATCCTCAAAACAGTTCCAAATTTGTGAAACCCTTCCCAGTATAGCCTACATCGAAGAAAATAATTCTTGATTGTAATGGATAGATAACAGAGAATTATCTACATGTAATGCTTTGGAGACGCCCAAACAAATTATGCAGGGGTCCGCAAGAACTAACAATAGAAGGGAAAAAGAACAAAAGAAAATGAACTGAAAATCAATCCCATCCTAATCTCTACACTTAAGCAGCATCAAAGTTTGAGCTAAGTAAAATGAAAGGATCCTCCAACCACGAAGGGAGACTCTGCTCGAATGCATTTCCGGATTGCCATTCAAAGATGTCATCCATGGAATCATGCGATAGATCACTCAAATGCGAGCATTTCCGCTTCCTAGTGTGAGCTCCAAATCATCCAATCCAACTTCATGAATCCTCTCCCCTTCCCACGCCTTAACTGGTAGCTTCTCAAAGTCAAACTCTATACCTTTACCCTTTCCTGAGACAACATCCATGGGAGAAACTGGTTGAGCCATGGGTTTCATCAGATTAAAGGTTGGTGAAGTTGGCACCATATTAGGTGCATATGTTTGGAAATTCATCCATTGGCCTGAATCAATTGTGGATGAGTCTGACTCATCGCATTCAGGTATAGTGGCCGGAGTAAATCGTTGGCCTCTTGTTGGACTTGCTGGCGCAGAGGCAGCAAAGAAAGGGATGTTCAAGGCATTCATGGACTCTTTGGCAAGGGCCTCTAGATTAAAAATTTGCTTAGGAAGTCTAGTTGGGGAGGAAAGAGGTGGAGTCACAGGGGCGCTATTCGATATTCGGAGTGGAGGCAGAGATGAAGGAATGGAGTTCCTGAGAAATGCAAATGGATGAGATGCCATGTTGGGCTCCTGACGGGTTGGACTAGGGCAGGAAGAGGACAAGGGGCTCGGTTGATAAGAAGGAATTGGACTCGCAAAATAGGAAGAAGGTGGACTGGGATTCCTGGAAGAGCTTGGTGTGATGTTTGCTGAAGTGCTTCCAATCTCGATTGGAGGTGGCCTGCATCCCTGAAACATATAAATCCAAGGTCCCCATCAAAATTTAGCTATCAAACAAAACTAATTACATAAGATAGAGAGCATTATTGGTGACATTTCTTGGCATGCTAATACAAAGAAAGAAATAAGTGACTCCCGATCGATTGACTGGTACTTGAGCTTCGAAATTCAAAAAAAAAAAAAATTGAAGAGAAAAGACTCGTGCAATTAAGTAGGTGACAACTGAGAATCACATTTCGGAAAGCAGATACAACAAAAAAAAAAAGGGTACAAAAGCATGGTAGAAACTTGAAAAGCATGGTAGTATGTCTTTTCCCCAGTATCTATGTACAGCAATTGTCAACAAATTCTTGATTGAAGTTAATTCTTGAAAATAGATATTAATTGCGAGAAATTTGGATGAACCAACAGGAAGAAATTCCAGCTTGGTATTAATTACTATAAAGTTAAAAAAAAAAAGAAGATGGAAAATTGCAGCATCACAAACTCAGAGACATCCCAGAACCCGCACAAGCCCTTGTGAGAAAAGAAAGATCAAAATTCTCCAAATTCTGCCATTAGCAGATCAAAAGAACCAGATACGGTAGCTGCCGGCTGTAACCAAAAGAGCATGAAATAGCAACCTGAGATCCAAGTCAGGCAAATCCCATCTCGCAAAACTACAGATCTAAACAGACTATCAAATGCAGATCAAGAAGGAAAAAAAAATTAATTATGGGAACCAGGAAGATCCAAATAAAGATCAACCTCCATACACAGGAAACAAAATCAAGAAACGTAAAAAGCGGACCTTTCTATAAGTGGTGCCATCAGACTCAACAATCCAACCAGCTTCAGCACAGAGAGCCTTCAAGACCTCATTGTTATCACAGTGCTTGGGGAGATTATAATTTCCCTGAGCTCTCAGCCCAGCATAAATCTTAGCCGCAATAGCTCTTCTCCTCCTTTCCCTCCTCCTATTATTCTCCCTCTCCCTCCATGAAGGCTTCCTCCTCCCATTAACCACGCCACCACTTCCTCCTCCTTCTCCTCCTCCACCTCCACCACCACCGCTGCCACCGGCCGCTGATGATGATGCAGTTGATCCTCCAGCTTCCCACATCATCTTTCTTGCTTTCCGCCTGCCTCCTCTCTGTCCTTCTCGCGCACACACACACACACACACAGAAAAACACGCAGAAAACAGTTGCTTTCCCTGTGGTTATGGCCTTTATATGCAAAAAAGGTGGGGGACCCCAGATGGCAGATGGGGCGGCTAGTGCTGGGGGGAAGGAAGAGGCAAAGGAAGGGGTGAAAGGAGAATGGATTGGGAGTACTAGGCCATATACTCTATCGTAGTAGTAGTAGCAGCGTATAATTATATTGCGTTGCAGGGCCTGCAGGGCTCACGAGGAATACGCTTCCCCCTCCTCACTGTCTATGCTTTTCCCCCGACCCAAAGTTTAGACGAATCTCTCTCTGTTTCCTGTCTCTGTGTGTGTGATTGTGTGTTTATGCGTGCGTTGGGTTGTGTATTTATAATTCTTACCTTACTTACTGATGTACGCATAATTTTTTGGACGAAAAATGATGGAAGGGTTCGTTCAGTAAAGCTCAGAAAGAGAAAGGTCTGTTTGGCTGGGCACCTGGATGTTTGGATGGGTTTATGTTGACTGTTGACTTGAGTTTTGGCTGTGAGATATGTGGAAAAGTATGACAGGTGAACGGTCGGGATTCGGGACTGGGTTTCGGTTAAGGGTGTGACTTGCGAGCAGCGTATCGCGCAGGAGAAGATTGAAAAAAAAGGGCAAATGGTGATGAGTGTGAAAATACTACTGATATCGAGGAAAGGAAGCCGCGTGGAAGAGAGCAGTAACTACTACCACTGCTGCTGCTACAGTAGTACGTACGTTGGAGTGCTGCTTTATGATTGTCTGTATGCTGTAATGAAGCTGATCAGAATTCATCATCAGAAGAAGCTTTAAGAAGAACCCCCGAATTCTGGAACCGATCAGATGGTGATGCGAGTGGCACACAAAAGCTTGCTCAGTGCTCACGCACAGTGCAGAAAAGCTGGGAAAACCCCCCCCCCCCCCCAAAAAAAAGAGGAAAATGGAAAGGGGAATTATCAGGTGTTGTTGCTGCTGCTTTGGATCGGAGATGGGTTGCCTTCAAATAGTTTTGTGCCACATCTGCAACGGGAACCACCTGACCTCATTGGCATTAGCCGGGGCCGCCCAGAGAAGTGAAAACCTGTTGTTGAGATTAATTAATATTTTATTTTACTAGTTTAATTCTTTGCCCAGAGAGTTGATTTTCAAGCATTGTTGAAAAGGGTTCGAAGAGTGGGCTCCAGATTTTCACCCTTTTCTTTTTCTTTTTCCTTTTTTTCTTTTTTGTTAACCTCCTGCTCTCTTTTTTTTCTTTTTCTGGTTAAATAAAGGAAAGCGTTCTTTTACCTTGGGCTTTATGGTCCATCCGTGGCTGCTTTTTTTTGGGTTGTGAGGGTGAAGCATTGGTTCATGAATTTCCTAATGGGCTAAGATTCTATTGGTCTGCGCGAGATGCAATAATCCCCTACCAACATGGAAAAGAGTTTTTTTTTTTGAGTGACAGGATTTTTGGGGGGGGGGGGGGGGGGGCGCTAAAGTTGTAAAGTTTATTTGTCCCAAGTCCCAATGGGCTACCCATGCCCAAAAGGACTTTGGGTGGGATGGGTATTGTAATTTGATATTGGATTTAAAATGGGATGCATTCCAATTGTACCCATTATTTGATGGGAAATGTTGGGAAATACCTGGGTACCCATTGGGCCCAAATATCTTCCCAAAAAATATCATTTATCCAAAAATTCATCTCTGATTTTTTTTTTCTCTTCCATTTTCTTTCTTCACTTTTCTACAAAAGAAAACCAATTAAGTAAAAATGATTTCATTTAAACAACTTAAAAAATACAAAGATAACAATAAAAATAAAATGAATTGATAAAATTTTGGTGTCTACAAGAATCAATGTTTTACTAACAACTGTTGGCGCCCTTTATGTTGATTTTATGATAATTGTTGAACTATCTACATAGATTTCTATATGCAACCCTGTTATCAATTTTTAATCAACTTCTTCGTTTCTGTGCTAGCTTTATTCAGTATTTAATGTGAATTTCTTTTGTATCAAATTTTGAAAATTTTAAGAATGTCAGTAAGAATGAATTTGGTGTTAAAAATCTTGTTTCTAGTCCTTGTGTCAGACAACATTATGGGTAAGGTTGGAATATGGCTGTATATCTATCTTTTCCTTTATTTGTTAATCCAATTTTTGGTTTAATCCAGGGAGAAGATATGTTCATTCTTACCAAAATATTATGTTTTTTTAAAGTAACTGTTTATCGTTTTAGAGTGTAAATGAATTCAGAAAAATATAAATTCACAATAAAATCAAAAGAAATTTAACAAATAAAAATATTAAAGTTATATAAAAAATAAAAAAGAATTAAAGGAAAAAAATATAGAAAATAAATTTGGGTATTGGGTGGGATCAATCTAAACCCATCCCAAAGTGATCCCGCCCAAGTTAGTCCCAAAACACATATAGGTAAGATTAAACCCAAACCCATATGATTCGGTTTCATTTCGAACCCAAGCAAATCCCGCCCATTTTGCCACATCTAAATTTAACAATTGGGTTTTAACTATTTCAGCTCAATAAAGGATATGTTATAGAGTATCTCATATCGTGAAATGCATATCTAATGTAAATAACAATTGAGATTGTCCGCAGCCTATATATATTAATACGTATCAATAAACCATCAACAAGATTAGCATCCTTAATTTGTTTCTTCACCCTTGCATAGGCTCTCCATATTCCATCCTTAATTTAAACATGGATGATGATATGCCGCTTTTCAGCACTATATTTTGTTCTACCCCTTCAGAAAAAAAAAAAAAAGAATTACGAAAATTATTGGGTGGTACTCGGACACCCTTTATTTTTTAACAATTGGAGGAACGAAAGGAAACTCGGACACCCTACTCATATTTCAAGTCAATTATGTACATAATCTCCTTAATGCCCTCTGCCAAGCATCATTTATTCCTTTTTTTTTTTTTTAATACCCGAAATCAAAGCAACCTTAACAAGCCTTCAGCCCGACCGGTCAGTATCTGCGCCATCTCCAGAATCATCTCCAACTTGCCTTCGAACCGTTTATAGTAGAAGATGACGCTAGAGCGCTTTTACCAAGCCCAAAACCATTTTCGAGTTTTACAAGTTCTTGATAAACAGGACCACTGGATTAGGCCGACAGACGAACAAAAGTTAATGGTCTGCCCACTAACCCAAACTTTTAAGTAGCTCTACCCACGGATGATCCACTGCTGTAATTCAATCAAATAATGCTTAGCTGCCTGGTTATTAAACTGACACACAGCTCGCAAACAGGGAACATAACCGACTAAAACAGCAAAGATGGCACCAACAACGTTTATAGGTACCATCTTCCTCCAAATTCAACCATTTATCCATTACAAAATATAAATTTGTAAACAAAAAGCGAGATGAAGTTACAACAGCATAACAAACATCATCTGCAAGTTCCAGTTTTGCGAGTACCAAAGAACTGTACCAACGCACCATGGAGTATGCTGCAGAATTACCAATGACACGTGGTTTCTTCCCCAAATGTACAGACTTCTGACCTGACAGCACCAGCAATTCATCTCAACTAGATGTTGCCTTCACATACTATACGCAGCGAGGAAAGAACATCTGCCCAACATAGCCACCTGCCATTGCCCTCCTCACATTCGATTCAAACAACTTTGGGTTGTCCCTCAACACAGCAGCTGCATCAGGATTAAGAGGATCTTCGTGATTAGGTTCCTGCACAGAAATAAGCCCAGATTAGAGATGCCATCAAAGCAAAAAGAATAATTCCTCACAAACAGGGAATAAAGGTTACCGTGAAGAGATGATAGAGGCCATAGATAATGGTGTTAATGTTCAGCACAGGTTTCCAGTCTTCTCGAAGGATGTTCAGGCAGACATTTCCTTCCAGGTCGATATTGGGATGATAAACCTGCAATAAGCTTACCCCACTTTAATTGATTTCACAGTTGCAAGATATTAGTACCCAAGATGAAAGTAGAAAGGAAAATTAGGAGCTTGTCTACCTTCGTCTTGCATTTGACCTTTGGAGCTTCATGGGGGTAGATTGGAGAAATTTGGAAAGAGAAGACAAATGTGCCGCCCCTGGATTGTGTGAACAAGGCAAAACATCACACATTGCAATAATGTCTCATGTCAAGGGCTAAAACCATGTCCTCAGAAATCTAATTAATCAGAAAAAATAAAGTTCCTCTTCTTACCAAACACTGGCCACAAAATAAATACTCACAAATAATATCCTTCATCAGGTCGAATTGTAACTTCAAAGTTCATGAGGTCATCCTTGCCATTGGGGAATGCTATTGTACATGTTTTTGGCAAATTGAGTTCACTTATATCTACAGGGAGAAAACACCATCAGTATTATTATTTCCTAATTTCCACCACTAACACCTCATCCAAGTGAAAGAACTTTTACAGGGATGGGTGCGTGGGAATAGAAATAGAGCATAGCCTGTATTTTACTTCATTCTATGGACACAACACCAATACCAATAAAAACAAAATAAACAAAGATCCAATGTGTGCATATGTACAATCAAAGTAACCATGAGGGTTTTCCTAATTTTATCACTAAAACCTAGTAGCTTGATGGCTCCAGTTGGTGTAAGTTGAGGATAGCAACATAATTCGCATAGTACAGGCATGATAAAATCACTTTGATTTGGCACTTCCCAATAATGAAATAGCATCACCTACACTGGGTTGCTCTCTTTGTAAGTGGAAGACCTACATTAAGGGGGTTTTTTTTTTTTGAGTCATGATGAAGAAGCAATCAACCAAAGCCTTTTTTTGGGGTTTTTCAGGTGCTTGAAGATTAAGGAAAAAAGATGAGTTTCTCTCTTCTTTGAAGATTTTTGGGGTTTTTTTTGAATGAGAAAAACATTTTTTTTTTGGGAAATGGAAGAGAAAAGATACTTGCCGCTAAAGTTCACTCATAAAATTTCATCACCAAAATTAAGTCCTTAGTTCAACAATTTTGCCTAAAACAATTGCATCATAGAGGAGATCAAATAGGATCATGCAGATAAATGCCAAGTTCCAATTTCAGATGTAAATAGAGAATTTTGCATTCTGCAAGTCAAGTTGAAAAGCCCCACGTGTACATAAAGCTCAAGCAAACCAAACAATTTTGGAAGCTCCCACTGCATCACTGGCCCAAAATGGTTTATACAGATTTGAATCATAAAATCCTACTCATCCAGATCATATCACGCGCCTAATGTGTAAGCTTTCTAATGCCAAGTGTCCATTCACATGAATATGACAGAAGTGAAGGTACAGCATCCAATATACTATAATAAAGAATTGCTTTTCAGCATATTAAATGGAAGAGAACGCATAATAGAATGCTAAACTGGTTGATCAAAAGGATGAAACATCCATACTGGTTCCAGGCAGACAGAATTGTCAAGAAAATATGCCACTTCATCAGGATTTTACTATTAGAATCTTTTTACTCAAATCAAAAGGATGAATTTTGAAAACCAGATTTACTGAAATAAGACTAAACTGGTTGTGCATAAGATAGCTTGTAGAATCCTAACAGTCCTCTTATAATCTTTCCAAACCCAAAACTCCAATCAAAAACCTCGGTCAAGAAATAAAATGATAAGAAATCCCTGTCTCAGCTTTAGAAGTGCAACTGTCTGTGGCAATATCCAGATGGGTGACAATAGTTTCAATAGTCCGCAAACAAAATGTTCTTGACTACCAATACTGGCACAAAACCTGAATCTTGAATCATACCAAAGAAGATAGAAATCATTTCCTATTAAAACAGAAAGCACTAAGCCAACCGTAAGTCATAAGTCATGCAATGCAAGACGGTAAACAAGTTCTAGCAACTATCCACAAGAATCAGGGGTACGGGTGGTTATGACCTTTGTGAAGACGTAATTCTCCAGCACTTTGCTTCTTCACTGGAGGTTTTCCATTTGCATTTTCAGCAAGTTCCTTCTGCTTTTCCTTCACTTTGAACAGCTTAATCATTGTTCCTACCCAAAAAAGACAACACATTTTAGCAACAATTACAACAATAAGACAACAAGTTTGAGATGTTGTACAACAGTAGCGGTATGTTCATCGTCCCTTGATAACAGAAGGCTACAACAGTGCCTGAATAATACTTGCCAAAAAATCCCAAGAAAAACGTCTCCTTAATTTCCAAAGTAAAAGGCATTCCTCACATAGAAAACCAGATTTTACTACTCAAATGCAAGAATTTACAGGTCATGAGGACACAACAGTTGCTAACTTTAAGTAGATAAGAAACTTCTGAAGTCAGTGAACTAATAATCCTCCTCCGAGCCTTACAGAATCTTTCATCAGTAGATGATGAATAAAATCATCCCAGCAATCATGTTATTGACGTAATCAAAGTTTATGTCTTTTACATGTGATCCTCAGACTCAACCCAAGTACTAGATGATGGTAAAAAGATAACTAGTAAACAAGGCCATAAAAATTACAGTAAGTGAAAAAGGGTTGACCCCTAATGATGCGTAGCAAATCAAACAACACATATAGCGAATCCCAGATGAGCAGAATTTTAAATCCTAGGAAACAAGATCCCAGATCAAATATAGTCTATACAGTACAGAAGAATTAGAAACTCAACTATTCATTAAAACCCAGCTAGGCAAAAGAATCCCAATCATCAAAAAAAATAAGATTGAAGGAAAGGGGGAACAAAAGAGCATCTCCCATAGGTATTAATGCAAAAAATTAAAATTGAAAAAAACCTAGATTTTGTGATCTGACAAAGAATCAACAGCTAGCTATAGCCAAATCCACAAATAAGCGTCAGTATAGAAGAGGAAGGGCGACAACCTGATTGATAAAAAGGCCCAGAGAAAAGCGAAGCGAAAGCTGATTACGAGAATGATGATTGGGGGGTCGGATATTTTAGTACGCGGAGCGAAGTGGGAAAGGAGGATTGGGAGGGGGGCCTGCGATCGGAGAGGGGCTGGAATGGGGACTATTTGTATCAAATTGAGGAGAGAGAATCTGAGAGAAAAAGGGCTGAAAGCGAGTCCACTTTGGTGTTTTATTATTCTGTTGGATGCTAACCGGAGGCTGGATGACATTTGGTTGAATTAATTTCCTCTCTTTTGTTTTTCCTACAAGAAGATTATTCTTATTTGAGCTTCTGTCCTTTAATTGCACTACCTTTTGATATTTGGGACTTTGAAAAGAAAATAATAATGCTCATATCATGTCAGGAGAATAAAGTTGGAAGCAGAAAAGAACAAAGAATAATAATTTGGAGAACAAAATACTCTCTATTGTGTACCAGGAATTTGTACTATATAATGTTGTGAGAACAATCTGCTAATATGATAGGATTACTATGTCAGAACTGCATTTTGCACAAAATTTTTACATTTTTTACGAACATATTTTTGAATCACTTTTTTATCTCACATGTATCTATCTATCTGATTGTTACAACATATTTTTTAATTAAAAAAAAACCCATAAAAGTAGCAATCCAAACGGAGATTTTCAAATTTTCTTGCTCTCTCGATTTTTCTCCCTTTAATTAGAGAATTTTCAATTTTTTAAAAATGTATAATGCAAACAAAATACAAAGCAAGGTATGAATGTGATATAAAATTACCAAATAGCATCTTATTGATTCGTGAAAATCTTGTGACAGCTGTAAAGTAAATGAAAATTATCAAGACTAATCCGTTTATAATTTAAATGAAGAAAGATAAGCGATGGAAAACTTGTGCAGATGTTTTAAGAATTTTTAAATTCTTTTTTCTCCACAATACAATTATTCAATTCTTTGGTATTACACCATCTTTTATTTTGCTAATTTTTTAAATCATATGGCTTTGTGTTTTTCCTAATAAAATGTGTCATATTCCGATTAAAAAGTATAGGATTATTCTAAAACTATTATATAAGGGTATTAATGTCATTTTGTTAAAATTTTGGATGGAGAATTCATTATTAACGTTTGACTAGTAAATAAAGGGAGCAAAGTGTATATATTTAAAGTTCATGGGGCAAACTGTAATTGACCCTACATGATATTGTGAAAACAAAGATTGAACCAGCATCTTAAGAATCAATTGCCTATTCAATTTGAAACAAACAAACCCATAATAAGGAAGGCCTTGATAGGGATCGAGATTGAAATAGTAAGCCTTTTTTTTTTTTTGGAAAAAAATGAGTTAATGTGGTGTTAATATGAAGGATCTGTCTTGAGAATATCCATTAGACATTAATATTCACTAAGGTGTAGCTGACGAGAAGATTTATAAATGCAAAATGAAATTATGGTAATTGTTAGTGTACACATTTATATGATAAATTAAGGTTATGTTTGATAAATCAATTCAGCACTTAAACTTAATGAATTTAAATTTTTACATATTCAGATGCCTTTAATAATCAAAAAGTGCACATCTGAATTAATTAAGTGGTACTGAATTTTCTAGGTAAAATTTACACTCAAATTAAAGTGGTAAGTTATTCACTTATCATTGAATGTGATATACACTCAAATATATTAGATTTAATACTTAATAATTCAATAACTTAATATATTTAAATTTTAAATTTAAGATTTTAAACTTCAATTTTTAAATTTTAATTTTATCAAAGGGACCCTAAATGTGATTTAAGTGTCTTTGACAAATCCCCACTACGAAATTAACAATTAACAGAGTGGTAGGCAAAGCTCCTTTTGGAAAACGGCATCCACCATGGTGACTGGTCACATGCCAACCATGAGAGTTAGGCTCAGGAGTTGGGCATTTGCCACTCCTGATCCAAAACCCTATCTCTTTAGAATTCAGATGGATGATGCCTGTCTTTCTCTTCCATGAAATTGAAACCTTTGGCCTGTCACTTCTTTATGTGTTCATTTTCCAACCGTTAAAGCTAAGCTCCAACTTTACAAAACCTCTTCTTTCTCTTGTGCCTCAATTTTCCTAGAATCCTCGCCCCTCTCCATTGCAAGTTTGCAAGCCGGACCTGGAGCTGTGGAGCATACTACTGAAAAAAATATATATAAAAAATATACTAAAGTACTTTATTTCGACCTACATTTTTCCAACATGAGATCTATGACTTTGGTAGATTCGTGGGTTCAGACCTGTTCAGTCTTCAATCAACCAAAAACCCATTACAGATCCTTCAATGGTCTTATCCACAAACCCATGAATAACCCCCAATTCAAACCCAATTTCCTCAAGCAAACGAAGCCCGTCTCTTCCTTCACCATTTCAGCGATCATAACAAGGGAAGAAGAAACAATTGATGCCGAGAAAGACCGAGAATCCAAGGACTCTTCGACCCTTTTCAACTTCAAATCCTACATGGTTGAAAAGGCCAATATAGTCAATAAAGCATTGGACGACTCCGTTTCCGTCAAGAACCCACCGAAGATCCACGAAGCAATGCGCTATTCTTTATTAGCCGGCGGCAAGAGGGTTCGTCCCATGCTCTGCATCGCCGCCTGCGAGCTTGTCGGGGGCCATCAGTCTCAAGCCATGCCGGCCGCCTGCGCTGTGGAAATGATCCACACAATGTCCTTAATCCACGATGATTTGCCGTGCATGGACAACGACGACTTCCGGCGAGGAAAACCTACGAATCATAAAGTCTTCGGAGAGGACGTGGCAGTCCTCGCCGGCGATTCCCTGCTGGCCTTCGCCTTCGAGTACATCGTCACGGCGACCACAGGGGTAGCACCAGCCAGAGTCTTGGCCGCAGTTGGAGAATTAGCAAAATCAATCGGGACTGAAGGCTTAGTCGCGGGCCAAGTTGTCGATTTGGCCTCCACCGGAAAGGCTGATGTTGGATTAGACCAGCTGGAATTCATTCATCTACACAAAACGGCGGCGCTATTGGAAGCCTCAGTAGTTTTGGGAGCAATTTTGGGTGGTGGGACTCCAGAAGGAGTTGAAAAACTGCGGAGATTTGCAAGGTGCATTGGGCTGTTATTTCAGGTGGTGGATGATATTCTTGATGTGACAAAATCTTCCGAGGAATTGGGCAAAACAGCAGGGAAAGATCTTGTAACAGATAAGGTTACTTATCCGAAAATGATGGGGTTAGACAAGGCTAGGGAGTTTGCTGAGAAGTTGAACGAGGATGCCAAACAGCAGTTGTCTGAATTTGATCCGGATAAGGCAGCTCCTTTAATTGCATTGGCGGATTATATTGCTCATAGGGATAACTAGAGTTTTGGGATTCCAAGCTTTGTATCTGATCTATGTTTATAACAACATTACTTAGATTATAGCTAAGGGCAAATGGTATCCTTGTCTGAAGATTTTCAGGATCCCAAACTGCAGTTTCGGATCATTGTTGTAACTTTTTCCTTGAGCGCTATTCCATGAAAAGTCAGACCATCTTGGCATTTGCATGTTTCTTTATTTCCCACAATGCAGCTGAAAACTGATGTATCTACCAGTATAAGTATGCAATGCTGCGTTTATCAGTGCAATTTGTATATCTTAGTAGAGTCTTTAGGCTTTGAATAACTGAAAAAATAGTTGCTCTTGCGCATGGCTAAGGAAGAACTGAAGCTTCACCCCCCCGGCCAATTTGATTGCTACAAACATCACAAATGCCTATTATGAATGGAAGCAGCAAGATCATGTGTATAAATCGCTATCCGTGATTGGGAGAAAACATAAGCAGGAGATTGCAAATTGTCAAGATTAGTCATCCTTCAGCAGTTGCTTGAGCATGGGGAGGTGGTGAAGAAGGACAATAAAAAACTAAGAAAATGGGAACGCGCATTATTTGGAATGTCTGATTGGGCGGGCATTTGATCGAACACTTGAGTTGCATCAAGCAGGAGGACTACGTATTACGGACGCCTTCTCACATGATACCTATCATATAAAACGGACAGGTCCCTTTCTCACCAGCGAAGCAAATGCCTTTATCTTCCTCCTGGGGCTTCGCGAGTTCGCTTAAGCTCAAGACCAATCACTTGTAATCTCCGAAGGGGCGGCAGATTCAGCGCGCAGAAAAAAAGATTGCGTGAATGAAGGGACGAAAAAGGAGAAACGCCGTTGCCGGGGATCGAACCCGGGTCACCCGCGTGACAGGCGGGAATACTCACCACTATACTACAACGACTTGTTGGACGCTTGTCTTCCCTCAAACTTTCTTAACAGTGAATTAAACATTTCGTGGCTCTTCTCAACCTTTATTGCTGTGTTTTGGTTCATTTGTCCTGGTTCCAACTTTGGAACAGTTGTGAGTTCCCAGAATTCAGGGAACTTGAGCAACCAATATTTGAAGCAAAATACAGATTTGAGCCCTTCGTGAATCCAATTTCGCTAAAAACCAGCCTAAATAAATGCACTGCTCCTTTAATGTTCTGCAATTATAGGTAAGTTGTGGATTGACAGTGTTTGAAATTATGAACAGGGTCCCCTAATAAGCCATCTCTGATATTTGCTTGTCTTTTTTTTTTTCTTAAATGCCCAAATTTGTTCATCTGCTTTACCCCCAGGCAGTAGCTACAAGGAATAAAAAGGGGAAACTTCTAGCCACTAATTGGCCAAAAATTATTCACATATATACGGCTTAAAAGAAGAAGCTGTAGCACTAGGCGAGGGGGTAGTTAGCAGTCAGTCGTTATGTAGTTTTGGTAGTAGGATATATGAGAACAGAATACAGTACCAAGTAGAAAGAAAATTTTAAGACGTAGTACATTCCCATCTTCAAACGCCCAGAAGCAGAACTATTCCCCAATTCCATAATTCTGAGAAGAAAACACTGCCGAAAATTACGACTTTCAGAATCTGATATGCATGGCCTCCATCTGCACCTTGTGGAAAAACAGGTAAAGGTAAGCCGCTATTAGGTGATGATCGCTCCAGCTGAAGCCCCAAACTTTTTATCAATGCAAGCACAGACGAGATAAGCTACTCTCACAAGTTACCCACTTCAATCAAGAATTGCCATCATGTAGCCCTTTTTAGCCAATTCGCCAGGCAAATAATCATACTCTGGGGCTGCAAATCTTATAGTTTTGCAGTTTCGGTCCTTTCTACAATTTCTACCA